TCTGCAACGCACAAACACACTGTGAGCACTGCGGCTGCAGCCATTGGTCCATTAATCAGCAACCATTTTCATCTCCATGACGACAGTCTGGTTAAAATCCAGGAGCTCATAAAGAGTTTGTGACGGCGGGTTCAGTGAGTTACCTGTAGTGCCGCCAGATGTAGCTGTACAGCACCCTGTGGATCCAAACACAAACAACCAATCATTAATGACCAGCACCAGCTGACCAGAGCTGACCTCACAGCAACGCGCGCTGCTGCTGCCGGGGGGCGGGCCTGACCTCACACTTCCTGTCTGACCAGCGATTCACACGTGATTCACAAGACAAAGAAGAAGAAGACAACGAAAAAGACGCAGATGAAAAAGACGACGATGACAAAGAAGAAGAAGACGACGAAGACGACGAAGACAAAGAAGAAAACAAAGACGAAGAAGACGACGATGAAAAAGACGACGATGACAAAGAAGAAGAAGACGACGAAGACAAAGAAGACGACGAAGACAAAGAAGACAAAGAAGAAAACAAAGACGAAGAAGACGACGATGAAAAAGACGACGAAGACAAAGAAGACAAAGAAGAAAACAACGACGAAGAAGACGACGATGAAAAAGACGACGAAGACAACGAAGACAACGAAGACAAAGAAGACAAAGAAGAAAAAGAAGAAAACAAAGACGAAGAAGACTGGCGCGCTGCGTATCGACACCCCTCGGGTGTGATCAGGTAAAACCTGTCCCCCTTCCATAGTAGAGGTTACCTGGACAGCACACGTCTGTCCACAGGGAGACACCTGGACAACATGCTCCGGCTGGCCCAAAACCAGCTCAAAGAGGACTCTGCCGTCACTACAGGAAGAAAAGCGTCCGGACAGTCGAGTCCGAGTACAGCGATCACCTGACCTTCCCAGCTAACATGAAACCACACCTGCACCACAGACTCTGTAACCGACCCAGGAAAGACCCGACCCGGGTATCGTCCAAAACCAGTACCCTTAAAGAGACACCGATACCGACGGAGTACTTCATTCGATACGTTGTGTGAAACGCCACCTGTATTTTGTTGCCGGTGATGTTTCTCTTCTGGATAAAGACATTGTGACCCTGATCAGGCCGTCCTCACAGGTCGTCGGGAAAGACAGCAGCGGGGACGGTTTCTGGACTTGAATGAGGAGTGAAATACTTTAGTGACCAAATAAGTTGTGGGAAACAAATTTAGGTACATTTTTGGATACGTTTGCTGAAAGTAAACAAAGGAAAATTATTTAGTTAACCTTCGATCAAAAACTGAAGGGACGGGTCTTTTTTACTTTAACCCTAGCTGTCCCGTTTATCCGCCTGTGGTGCAGCCAGCCGAGCCAGAGACACGTCCTCCCCTCGCCGTCTCAGTTTGCGTGTTTGGCTACAGGAAAAAGATGCAAACAAATAATCTGTTGCCGCGATCCGGTTACAGAAAGTATCGAATGACGTACGGGTTTGACTGGAGGCGTTTAGAAGCTGGATACCTGATGCGATGCCTGTCCCCAGTGATCTCAAGCATCCGGGACAAACCAGCACAGGTGCTTCTTCACACCTGAGACGCCTGCTTCACACCCAGATACCTGATCTGTCCCCCCCGAGGCCCGCTCGCTACAGTGCGCAGTATATCCCGGGAGACAGACAGTGAGTAAAGACAGACGGACAGTGAGCAAAGAGAGACGGACAGTGAGCAAAGACAGACGGACAGTGAGTAAAGAGAGACAGAGAGACAGTGAGTAAAGTGAGCAAAGAGAGACGGACAGTGAGCAAAAAGAGACAGACAGTGAGCAAAGAGAGACAGACAGGCAGTGAGCAAAGAGAGACGCACAGTGAGCAAAGAGAGACAGACAGTGAGCAAAGAGAGACAGACAGGCAGTGAGCAAAGAGAGACGCACAGTGAGCAAAGAGAGACAGACAGACAGTGAGCAAAGAGAGACAGACAGACAGTGAGCAAAGAGAGACGGACAGTGAGTAAAGAGAGACGGACAGTGAGCAAAGAGAGACGGACAGTGAGCAAAGAGAGACGGACAGTGAGCAAAGAGAGACAGACAGACTGTGAGCAAAGAGAGACAGACAGACAGTGAGTAAAGAGAGACGCACAGTGAGCAAAGAGAGACAGACAGACTGTGAGCAAAGAGAGACAGACAGACAGTGAGTAAAGAGAGACGGACAGTGAGTAAAGAGAGACGGACAGTGAGCAAAGAGAGACGGACAGTGAGCAAAGAGAGACGGACAGTGAGTAAAGAGAGACGGACAGTGAGTAAAGAGAGACGGACAGTGAGTAAAGTGAGTAAAGAGAGACAGACAGTGAGTAAAGAGAGACGGACAGTGAGTAAAGAGAGACGGACAGTGAGCAAAGAGAGACAGACAGTGAGCAAAGAGAGACGGACAGTGAGCAAAGAGAGACGGACAGTGAGTAAAGAGAGACGGACAGTGAGCAAAGAGAGACAGACAGTGAGTAAAGAGAGACAGACAGTGAGCAAAGAGAGACAGACAGTGAGCAAAGAGAGACAGACAGTGAGCAAAGAGAGACAGACAGACAGTGAGTAAAGAGAGACGGACAGTGAGCAAAGAGAGACAGACGGACAGTGAGCAAAGAGAGACGCACAGTGAGCAAAGAGAGATGGACAGTGAGCAAAGAGAGATGGACAGTGAGCAAAGAGAGACGGACAGTGAGCAAAGAGAGACGCACAGTGAGCAAAGAGAGACAGACAGTGAGTAAAGAGAGACGCACAGTGAGCAAAGAGAGACGCACAGTGAGCAAAGAGAGACGCACAGTGAGCAAAGAGAGACAGACAGACAGTGAGCAAAGAGAGACAGACAGTGAGCAAAGAGAGACGCACAGTGAGCAAAGAGAGACAGACACACAGTGAGCAAAGAGAGACAGACAGTGAGCAAAGAGAGACAGACAGACAGTGAGCAAAGAGAGACAGACAGTGAGCAAAGAGAGACAGACAGACAGTGAGCAAAGAGAGACAGACAGTGAGCAAAGAGAGACAGACAGACAGTGAGCAAAGAGAGACAGACAGACAGTGAGCAAAGAGAGACAGACAGTGAGCAAAGAGAGACAGACAGACAGTGAGCAAAGAGAGACAGACAGTGAGCAAAGAGAGATGCACAGTGAGCAAAGAGAGACGCACAGTGAGTAAAGAGAGACGGACAGTGAGCAAAGAGAGACAGACAGTGAGCAAAGAGAGACGCACAGTGAGTAAAGAGAGACGGACAGTGAGCAAAGAGAGACAGACAGTGAGCAAAGAGAGACGCACAGTGAGTAAAGAGAGACGGACAGTGAGTAAAGACAGACAGACAGTGAGCAAAGAGAGACGCACAGTGAGTAAAGAGAGACGGACAGTGAGCAAAGAGAGACAGACAGTGAGCAAAGAGAGACGCACAGTGAGTAAAGAGAGACGGACAGTGAGCAAAGAGAGACAGACAGTGAGCAAAGAGAGACAGACAGTGAGCAAAGAGAGACAGACAGTGAGCAAAGACAGACAGACAGTGAGTAAAGACAGACAGACAGTGAGCAAAGAGAGACGGACACCCCAGCAGCAGTAGTACTTGCAGTATTAGTACTCACCCCAGCAGCAGTAGTACTTGCAGTATTAGTACTCACCCCAGCAGCAGTAGTATTTGCAGTATTACTACTCACCCCAGCAGCAGTAGTATTTGCAGTATTACTACTCACCCCAGCAGCAGTAGTATTTGCAGTATTACTACTCACCCCAGCAGCAGTAGTATTTGCAGTATTAGTACTCACCCCAGCAGCAGTAGTATTTGCAGTATTAGTACTCACCCAAGCAGCAGTAGTATTTGCAGTATTACTACTCACCCCAGCAGCAGTAGTATTTGCAGTATTAGTACTCACCCCAGCAGCAGTAGTATTTGCAGTATTAGTACTCACCCCAGCAGCAGGAGTACCAGCAGGATCACAGCCACAGTTCTGCCCGTTAACAGATGCATTTTGAAGGACATTCTTGATCCTCAGGATGAGAATCCTAAAGCCAGATCCTGAGACCAGATCCAGAGATCAGACCGGTTTAGCTGGGAAGTAAAGGGGGGGGGGGGGGGGGTAAATTACTGTAATACTCTTTCCACATGTTTGTAATCAATACTTTAGAAAACTTCAGTCTTCCTAGTGAAGCCCGATCCAGGTCTGGACCAGGTGCCCCCTCCGTGTTAGTCTTATCTCTAACGACTTCAACTTCTGTCACATAAACAAAGTACAAGTATGACGTCTCATCAAATGGAAATACTCGAGTAAAGTACCTTGAACGTGTACTGAGTTACTGTCCAGATGTTACAGTTCCATCCGGGTCTCTGTTCTCAAACCTGGAAGATAGGATCGATAACCAGAAGCATCAGTAACGGATCAACGGGGGTCCAGCTGGGGGCCTCGCCCGCCCTGCCGGTCCAGGATCAGAGCCCGGAGGCTCCTGCACCAGACTTCATAGAGAAAGCTGTGTGTTTTACTGCAGCTCACCTGCAGCTCCAGGTGTCCTCCGTCAGCTGCTGCTCGAGCGCCTGAAAGGCGCACCGAGCCTATTTCCGCGTTCCGCCCGAGCCCCGAACGGACCCCGACTGTCCGTTACCCAGTGAAGACCACGAGACAACCGGGAACAGGTCTGGAGACGGTTCCGCCAGAGAACCAGAACCAGTTAAGCCTCAGAAACTCGCAGGTCCGAAGGCCGAATGCGCAGTCCTCTGAACCAGGAAATGCCGCTGGTGCGCAGAGCTACTCTCCCCTGATAAGACGCCTGCCAGGCCGCGGGAGCGCGCATGGAGTGAGTGGTGGAGGCGGACCTTCGAGTTCTCAAAGTCGAGGTAGAGACGGAAAAGAGTAGAGGTTCTGCAGAGACTCTGTTCCTCTGCAGGCCACCGAACTCCGCCAATTAACTGAGTTAAAGGGCTGAACCATCACCGCCGCCTGAGCAGGTTTCACTTTCGATCTCTCGGTCATGTAACTGCTGGATCCAGACCAGGCGGGAAGCTTCGGGTCAGAGACCTGAGGCGAACGCGGAAGTCCCTTAAATCTGCATTCTATTGAACGGCCAGCAGGGGGCGACTCTTTAGCTGCAGAAAGAAGTCCGTCTCCATTAGAAATGATGGTAAACTGAGGCTGAGCTGATTCATTCCCTTAGGAAACACTTTCCTGGTGACTTCATGGTCTCAGTCGTGTTTATCGGCCAAACTCGAGGCTTCAAAACGGCGCTCCACAAACCAACAGGTGACTACGCCCACGTCTTTTATACAGTCTATGTTCCAGACCCGGATCCAGATCCGCTGGAACCTTCTGAGATGACGCTGCATTAGAATCATTTAATTATTATTTTAAATTTAAACACTTTCATCCACACAAAGCCGCTACACTGCTGCCAGAAGCGGAACCAGAACCAGAACCAGAACCTGAAGGTAAAGACCGTGTAATTATAACAGTACAATAAAAGTAATGGACTTGATCAACACATTAATATGTAGAGGCAGTTCAGCATCCTGTCCGTGTGAAGCTGAACGTCATTTCACATATGAAACAAAAAGTCTCCCTCCCCAACACATTCTCACTCCTGACTGGTCACATATTGGCCCCCCAAACCTCTGATCCAGGTCCCTGATTAGCTGCTGGACATAAACACACAGATAACAATATAGTAATATGGAACCACGGTCTGATCCACGTTCTGACCCACGTTCTGATCCATGGTCTGATCCACGGTCTGATCCACGTTCTGATCCACCTTCTGACCCACGTTCGGATCCACGGCCTGATCCACGTTCTGATCCACGTTCTGACCCACGTTCTGATCCATGTTCGGATCCACGGTCTGATCCACGGTCTGATCCACGGTCTGACCCACGTTCTGACCCACGTTCGGATCCACGGCCTGATCCACGTTCTGATCCACGTTCTGACCCACGTTCTGATCCATGTTCGGATCCACGGTCTGATCCACGGTCTGATCCCACGGCCTGATCCACGGTCTGATCCACGTTCTGACCCGCGTTCTGACGCACGGTCTGATCCACGTTCTGATCCACATTCAGATCTACGGTCTGACCCACGTTCGGATCCACGTTCTGACCCACATTCGGATCCACGTTCTGACCCACGTTCGGATCCACGTTCTGATCCACGTTCTGACCCACGGTCTGATCGTGGATCAGAACGTGGGTCACGTGGTCCACGTGGTCCACGTTCGGATCCACGATCTGACCCACGTTCGGATCCACGTTCTGATCCACGTTCTGATCCACGTTCTGACCCACGTTCGGATCCACGTTCTGATCCACGTTCTGATCCACGTTCTGACTCACGTTATGACTCACGGTCTGATCCACGTTCTGACCCGCGTTCTGACGCACGTTCTGATCCACGTTCTGACTCACGTTATGACTCACGGTCTGATCCACGGTCTGATCAACGTTCTGACCCGCGTTCTGACGCACGGTCTGATCCACGTTCTGATCCCACGTTCTGATCCACGTTCTGATCCACGGTCTGATCCACGTTCTGACCCGCGTTCTGACGCACGGTCTGATCCACGTTCTGATCCCACGTTCTGATCCACGGTCTGATCCACGTTCTGACCCGCGTTCTGACGCACGGTCTGATCCACGTTCTGACGCACGGTCTGATCCACGTTCTGATCCACATTCAGATCCACGGTCTGACCCACGTTCGGATCCACGTTCTGACCCACATTCGGATCCACGTTCTGACCCACGTTCGGATCCACGTTCTGATCCACGGTCTGATCCACGTTCTGACCCACGGTCTGATCCACGTTCTGACCCACGTTCTGACCCACATTCGGATCCACGTTCTGACCCACGTTCTGATCCACGGTCTGATCCACGGTCTGATCCACGGCCTGATCCACAGCCTGATCCACATGCTGATCCACGTTCTGATCCGCGTTCTGATCCACGTTTGAATCCACGTTTGAATCCACGTTCTGATCCACGTTTGAATCCACGTTCTGATCCACGGTCTGATCCACGTTTGAATCCACGTTCGGATCCACGTTCTGACCCATGTTCGAATCCACGTTCTGATCCATGTTCGGATCCACGTTCTGATCCATGTTCGGATCCACGTTCTGATCCACGGCCTGATCCCACGGTCTGATCCACAGTCTGACCCACATTCGGATCCACGGTCTGATCCACGTTCTGATCCGCGTTCTGATCCACGGTCTGACCCACGTTTTGATCCACGGTCTGATCTACAGTCCGATCCACGGTCTGATCTACAGTCCGATCCACGGTCTGATCCTCGTTCTGATCCACGGTCTGATCCACGTTCTGATCCGCGTTCTGATCCACGGTCTGACCCACGTTTTGATCCACGGTCTGATCTACAGTCCGATCCACGGTCTGATCTACAGTCCGATCCACGGTCTGATCCTCGTTCTGATCCACGGTCTGATCCATGTTCGGATCCACGTTCTTATCCACATTCGGATCCACGGTCTGACCCACGGTCTGATCCATGTTCGGATCCACGTTCTGACCCATGTTCGGATCCACGTTCGGATCCACGGTCTGATCCACGGCCTGATCCCACGGTCTGATCCACGGCCTGATCCCACGGTCTGATCCACGGTCTGACCCACGTTCTGATCCGCGTTCTGACCCACGTTTTGATCCACGGTCTGATCCATGTTCGGATCCACGTTCTGACCCATGTTCGGATCCACGTTCGGATCCACGGTCTGATCCACGGCCTGATCCCACGGTCTGATCCACGGTCTGACCCACGGTCTGACCCACGTTCTGATCTACGTTCTGATCCGCGTTCTGATCCACGGTCTGATCCTCGTTCTGATCCACGTTCTGACCCACGTTCTGATCCACGGTCTGACCCACGGTCTGATCCTCGTTTTGATCCACGGTCTGACCCATGTTCGGATCCACGTTCTGACCCATGTTCTGACCCACGTTCTGACCCACGTTCTGATCCACGGTCTGACCCACGGTCTGATCCACGTTCTGACCCATGTCCATTTGATTAAATTAATTTGTCAACTGTAGCTATTTATTTGACTTCATAATATGCTGCCCTGAGCGAGGCCGTCTTAAAGATACAGAGAAAATCAATGTTCTTTAATGTGAAGTAGACATTGAGCTGAGGGGGGGGGGACTCAGGAACAGCGAGGAGCAGTGAAAGTTCTGCATGTACTTTGTATGACGTACACGTGAAAAGAGATCTACGATGCTCGTTGTGTTTTTGGTACTGATGAATATTACTGCATACTCACGTGAGTTGTACTACAGCGACAGAAACAAGAACTATTTATTGTGTTTAAGATTTTAAAATGAAGAATGTGGAAGAGAAAAGTGTGATGTCATCACTTTTAAGAGTCAAGCCTTCAAAATAAAAGCAGAAACGTTTGCCATGTTCATATTAATGCATTTACTTTGTTTTTAAAGTCTGGTCAGGGACACACCTTTATTTTGTAGAGCTGTGCGTGTGACTTCCTGTGTGATGTGCGGCGGCAGTCTGGGAACTGAAAGTAGCGGGACTCCACGGCTCTGAGGGAACTTCCCACACACAGAAAGGCTTCATTCATAAAACAGAGAATCTGAAATCAAGGATCATTTTCTGTTTCACGCTAAACACCTTTAGAGTGAGCTGAGATCAGAATCAACCCGGATCCCATCTACAGCTTTAACATGTCTGCATTAACCTCAGTTTCTGTTTGCTACGACAGGTTTAAAGAAGTCTGCTCTGTTAACCCTGAACAGTCCTCACAGGAAGCAAGGTGGATTAACCGTGCGGGACGCTGACAGAAAAGGCTGCAGCTGTGTGAAGCTCTCCAGTAAAAGACGCCTGTGCTGTGTCTGATGAAAGGCAGACTGCACGATTAGATTTAGTGTGGTGATTTTAATATTCATGTTGATGACCCCACCAAGGTTCATGCAACTGAACAACCACTTCTTTTACCTTCAAACAGCACGTCGGTGGGCACAACCTGGACTTTGACCCCATCTGACCACAAATGTATAGTTTTGGAATATCATTGACATCGACCGGCTCCCCTCAAGGCTGCGTCCTCTCCCCTCTTTTATACATTATGTACACTATCGACTGCCGCAGCGAACTCACCAATAACTATATCGTAAAGTTTGCAGATGACGCAGTCATAGTAAGTTTAATGGACACCACTGAAACATCTCACGGCCCTGTACTACCCTATTTTTTAAACTGGTGCAAAGAAGCCTTTTTAGACTTAAATGTTACAAAGACAAAGGACATGTGCATTGATTTTAGACGTCACCGTCCAACTCCTGAAAAGACGACTATAGGTGGTAAACAGGTTGAAATTGTTGAGTCGTACAAGTATCTGGGAATCATCATTGATAACAAGCTGACCTTTGAACTAAACACAGACATGCTGAGTAAGAAAAGTCAGCATTGTCTCTTCTGTCGGAAAAAGCCAGCCCCGTTTCAAGTGAACAGATCCCTGATGAATCTTTTGATGTGTTTGTCAAATAATTTCCTCCAGCTGAACTCAGACAAAACAGAAATCCTGGTCATCGGGTCTCAGCAGATGGTAAAACATATCCTGCCATCTGCTGGTTCCCTAGTAAATCACATTAAGCCTGTGGCAAAGAACCTTGGTGTTTGGTTTGATAGTAATTTAAATTTCGAGCAGCACACCACAAAGCTTGTTCAATCATGTTTTTATCAACTTAGAAATATAGCAAAAATTCGATCTATGTTAACTTTTAAGGACACCGAGACCATTTTACACGCCTTCATCTCATCACGCCTGAATCACTGCAACAGCCTTTTTACTACTGATCGAGTCCAGACTGTGCAGAACTCAGCTGCCAGGCTGCAGAACCAGAAGAAAGAAATACGTCCACATCTGTTTCAGCTCCATCACACCGGCCACCACTATGTTTTAGAGTCGATCACTTTTAAAGCTCTTCATGGCCTCTCGCCTTGTTCTATCTCTGAACTTTTAGTCCCACACACACCAGC